CGAAATTAAAAACCAAAATTACTCATTGATAACGTAACAGTATTAAGAATATTTATTAATTAATATTTACATTAGATGAATATTAATGTTTTCTCATCAAAATGCAAGCATTCAAAGGTATCGCGACGTAGTTGTGCGTCAATATTCAATTTTCAACGACGGCTCGTGACTTTCATAAATCATAAAGCCTGCCTTGTTAACATTTAGAAGTCACTCAAGTTATTGGTATTTAAATCATAGTATGGTTATTAAAATATTCTTAAAGCGTGTTCTGTTAATTCTAAGAAACTTAAAGATTAATGTTTTTTTTTTAATATGGCCTCGTGTAGGTGTTTATATCTAGAAAGTTTGTCTTAAATTTTTAGTTAAAGCATTTATTTTGTTCATTCGTTCATTTTTGTTTCATCCCTAATATTTATTATCACAGTTTTGCAATTTTAGTCTTAACATAATGCTTCTTTATTGAAAGCTAAGTACTTTTTCAAGTTACGTCGTAGAAAACGACGCGGTAATTCAAAAACTTTTATTAAGAGATATATTTGGAACTGTGCAATGTACACATTTATATAGTCTGCGAGTGTACGAGATATTTTAGGTAATATTATTCTTCAAATGTATACTCGTTCTTATATTTACGGTCTTAACTGTTCAATAGAATACCGTTATAAACTACAAACATGACGTAGTTTAATATTACACAATCATCCAAAAAAGGTTCGTTATTCGACTTAATGATTATAATTGCTCATCATCTGAATGCTAACTGAATGGTAACAATTATTTATAACGTTGATGTACTCGTATTATTACTTCCTGACAGTCGTTCAATATGGACCGTCAATGGTAAATTAATGTGTAACAATTCACTTCGTCTCCATTTATTCTGTTCAGCTGTTTTCTTCCGTTAATTAGACAACAATCTATTTTATGGACGCTTTTTATTGTTTTTTGTTATATTATACATACAATAACAACGTTACCCAAAAAACCACATCAAAACTGTGACTTTCGCCCTGAACTAGAGTGGCTGTAGTATCGTGAGCGACCGCATCTGCTTGCTCTCACCACTCCTTAATTCACTCACTTCTTCTACATACCTCACCTCCCTACCTTTGTTCAAGTCCGTATTCTCCTTTCGTCCTCTAAGGAATGCAATAAATATGTCTAAATAAAATATGTAAATAAGATAAGGCCCACTTTAAAACCAGAGAACTAAATACAACCAAACATACAAGTCTATAGCCGTCAGTAATCCGGGAATTAAGCAGATTGAAGCAAATTGAAAGAAAAGGGAATTGTAGTAGAAACATTTTGCCGTAACTGATTCTCAAGAAATTGATTAAAATGAGGGTATATCGAGAAACGGCTTCATAATAGCTACCAATTCAGGTAATTAATTAATGAATTAGTTGCTGGCTTTTTAGCACTTAATTGTGTATACGGGAAATGAAGACTATAACAATTTCACCTTAATTTCACATAGTAACGAGCAACACACGTCTTTAAAGGGTAGACAGGCGTATTAATCGCACACATTTTTCCATCCATCCTGACCGTTTAGCAGTCAGGTCAGCTTCTATGATGTGTTAAAAGTCTATACAAAGTACATATACCTATAAGACTCCATAGTACGCAAATATTCGTAGTAATAATAACCAAAAATTAATTGGAACGGATGGCGTAATGGTTTTAGCGGTCACCTCGCCGCTTCCTACTGCGCTAAGTGTTGTCGGTTCGATTCCCAAATGGGACATCATTTTTTATGATCCACTAATTGTTATTGTTCAGTGTCTGTGTGTTCTTTGTGTCCGTTTCATGTATGTTTGTGAAGTCTACCACGATACAGAATATATTTCTAGTGCAGGAGTTTTCTTAAAGAAAAACCCTAATTACAGGTACAGTAGATTCGACTTACCAGACCGCAAATGAAATTCAAAACGTTTATTATGTACAGGCCTTAATGAGTAACATCTTTAAGAACATTGTCCGCTTCACTTTACTAAGTAGAGCATTTGCTTCATTCCATTAGCCTTATTAAATTATACTAGCAGTTGTCTACGAAGGCATTTAAATTTTTTAAATTAAGTGAATGTTAGAAGTCTCCTAGCGGTTTTTTTTTTCTGGGAGAGGGGGCAAACAAGCAGACGGGTTACCTGATGGAAAGTGACTACCGCCGCCTATGAATGCCTGCAACTCAGGAGTCATAACACGTTGCCAGATTGTTAGAAAGGAGTGCGCTCGTTTCTTGAAGGTTTGAAGGCCATATCGGTCCGTAAAGACCACGGACAATAACTTGTGTCATAGATTGGTTGTGCGAGGCAAAACGTGTCTTGAAAAGCATGCAGTGGTGGAGCGCCAAAATTATCCAAGTGAAGGGGTTGAAAATTTGCCTGTGCGGAACGATGGCGGCAATTACGTCTGGTTTTAGACCGAACAATTCTCTCATGATATATACGAGCACTCTCCACTCTGCGAATGCAGAGTGAAGTTACATCTCTACATAACGCCAAGGGATCGATCTTTGAATTATTGAATATTCGAGTCGGTCTTCGTTGGATGCGGTCCAGTGGAAAAAGTGGACTAGACTTAGTCAAACCCAACCTGAAACCTACTCTAAAGATGTTTCAATTTCAAACACAAGTTTGTTTCGATTCTCGATGACGTTTTCCTGATAAATATTGGGGCAGCCGGTATAAAGAGCATCTCCCGTATCATCCGCATAGCAATGGATGCTACTAGTTTGCAACATGTAAGCTATGCACTTTGAAACATCACTCAATCAATCAATCATTTAATATAGTCAATTATCTCCGCATATACATCACAAAATAAACAAGGTTAGACACACCTTGCTAATGATTTGTCAAAACTCTTTTGATATGTTAGTACTTAATAAAGTTTTAGGACAATTTTTAAATAAGGTAGGTACTTTTATATACGAGTATTTATTTAAGCTTTTTGCATTATGTAAAGAAGTGGACTTGCTTAAGCCATTATCTGCCAGTCGAAATTCGGTTTACACGGAGTGTGTTCTGTGTTCTATTATCCTTAGCTAATCACTGTTCATTCTTACCGCAAAAGTGGAACCTTAGAACAAACAGTTCACTTTTTTAGTACTTATCTACCACATTCATATTTCATACATATGTTCACTTATGAAATAGAGTTAGCAGATTGTGTGTCGCCTAGCTTAAAAAAATATTGATTATAATGACATTTTAAACATAGTCATATCACTTTTATATTTATATTTCGCTTGTATTAATACTTATGTCACACAACATCCACCAGAATGACAAGAAAAATACTGTTGAAAAATTATATCATAAGAAATGTTGATTGTATTTGTATTTTATATAAAACGGTGTTTTTTTTTGCGTTGTCAGTAAATCTTCGCCGACAGTAAGTTGAAGGAAGCTTAATTTCAGTATACCACTCAAACACGAGAGAGAGGGCCTGAGTGGCAATATATTTATGTAGGGTGGGGCCGAACCATCGAAATGTATACCGACACCGTTTTATCTATTTGATGTAAAAAATAGCTGTGAGTAACGATGTTTTAGTATACAATTAAGCAGATTTGTAGGTAAAAATAAAAATTTAGTAATAGAGGTCCGATAGTGATTTAATGTTCTTGTATAATAGGGTTCACCCTCATTGCACCTTTCCAATTAGTTTGGGCTTGTGACATCTTAAAATCATCTTAAAAATGGCTGTCTCACTTAAGCTTTCGATTGTTGACGTTAAATGATTTTCTTGACATATTTTGGAATTTATTTAATAAATTAAAAAGAAAAATTAATTTAATAGGTAGAAGTTTAAAAATACTGCTTTAAGCACTGATTTCTGTGAAGCTCTGGCACCGCAAGAACCATGGGTGGGACGCAAAGAATTGCCGCTGACCTATAGTGCCATACGCGGCGGCAGCCTACAACTTGCGGCCGCGGCGATCACATGAGTGGCACCGTACTCCGTATTAGGCAATGATCCGCAGAGCCAAGTGGTACCTCAACGGTAATTTTATAGCCGTCCGGATCAGAGGTCAGCAGAAGGTCCAACAGTGAAGGCTCATGACTTTCCACATCTAGTACTCACGTGGGCGTTGATACCAGTTGTGACAAGCCAGGGCAAAATCGTGAACAGATCTCCCTGCGTAATCGGTTGTAGGTGAGCCAAGCCATTCGGCGTTGTGAGCGTTAAAGTCGCCAAGAATCACGATCTCTGCGGATGGGATCTGCTGTAGCACAGATTCTGTAACCATTTGCACGTGGACCATCAGTTGGTCAGTTTCGGTATCACCGTTATTGGACCTGTAGAGGCATGCATAGTTATGCATGTTTGGGTTTGGCTGTGTTACGTTGCTAGCATGAGTTGTAATGGGAATGTTTCGGTTACAAGAAGTGAAGTTTCGGCCAACAATTTTTATGTTGAACTATTTTTGTTTGTGTACCTTTTGATATACTAGTGATAATGCGTGTGATAATAACGGGCTAAATTCTGCTGTTCAAATATTTTTTATACGAGTATACTTGGTCTCAAAGAGGACTAGCAACCGCATAATTATTCCTATACGACATAAAGCATCAGCAGCAGCAGCAGTAGATTCATATTAGAAATGATTTCTCTGAGTAAGAAATCTTTTCTTTTCGGAGTAAAATTATAAAAGCAAACGGGGGAAGCAATCAAATGAAAAATTGAGTGTAATTCGAATGATTTAGTAGATTTCATTTTAGATGAGAAATTCAGGGGATCGTAAAATTATACTCCTTACAGATGCAATTAAGGACCGCCGTTTGGTATAATTAAAACATTATGTTTAACAAATGTACTTATAAATCTGGTCATTAATTGATATCTTATTGCGTTTTAGTTCCAATCACTCTGTTTTTTATTCGTCAGTATTCAATTAAAAACGAGACTGGTGTCAATTATTTTTCTACTAGATCTCAACAGAAATAAACAAATTTAACTCTGTTTTTTAAAATTCTAAGTTCTACGCGATGGGTCATTTTCAATTCTTCAATTTGATTGTAATGTCATATGTGATAGGAGATTTCTTTACCGCATACGCAAGTCCAGAACGTAGTAAGCATGATAATAGTATGCTTTGGTGTCGTACGTGTGGTGTTCACGTGGCCGATATCACTAATTCGGTCAATATACTAAGCAAAGGAGCTATAAAAGTAGAAACCAGGAATATATTAGGAAAAAATATTACAGTACAAACACTGATCAACCCATACAAATATATATTTGAAGTTTTAACTACTCATAGAGCGAGTTGTGAAGATGAAGGGCCAAATCATCGAGCAGGTTCGTGGTTTCCTGGATATACCTGGCGAATTTGTACATGTCCTCATTGCACTAAGCAACTTGGGTGGACATTTGAAAAAGTATTGACTAACGACGTTGATGATAATAATGACAGAGCACCATTCCATGCATTGATGTTGTCAGCTTTGCTCGCAAAAACCAACGATTTTCAAATAGCCGAGATGACGACACCATATCAGAAGTAAGTTTTATTACTATTTTATTGTACTCATCTATAAACCTGTTACTTTTTCTCTCTCTACTCTTTTTAATACACAAAGATAGCATCCCTTCATTCATACTGTACGAGTAGAATTCTCTTTAGTCTATTTTGCGGTGTAAGACGAATTTAATGGGTGTATATTTTTCTTAATTGACTGCATCAGACTTACTAAAGTAAAGTAATCTGTTTCAAATTCCACTTTGACTTAATCACTGTTTGAATCAAGAATCTTGACTAAATCAGTGCAATTTTAATATTGTCCTTGCTTCTTTCATATTAAACTCTGTTCCAAAAATAACGGATCAGTCACATAAACCCGAATATCTCCCGAACTACGTATGCCATCCTAATGAAACGAAGACTGTTCAATTGAGAATTTAATGATACAGATAAAAAATAAAATAAAACTTAAATCTAAACTAACTCTTAACTTATCTCTAAATTAAAAAAAAAACTAAAGTAGTCATATTTTTCTTAAGATTACATTTTTTTATGATTGTTTTTTTGCTGTTTTTCATCACTTTCTTCATTTAATACTTTGTATTGCCTCCACGAGCTCTTCTGACAGCTTCCAGGCGATTAGGCATGCTGTACACCAAATTTCGGAGCCGGTGCTGAGGAATACCTTCCCATTCCTCCACCAGTGCTTGTTTGAGCTCGGGAATCGTGATTGATGGGGGGTTTCGACCTTTCACGCATCTCTGAAGCTCGTCCCAGGCGTGCTCGATGGGGTTTAAGTCCGGGCTTCGCGCTGGCCACCGCATGAGTTCGATACCGACCTCTTCAAGGTAGTCATGTGCAATTCTGGCGGTATGGGGACGCGCATTATCATGCATTAATATGCCATGCCGGTCCACCCTGGCCATGAAAGGACCTACATGTTCATTGAGGATCTCTTCCACGTACCTCTCTGCATTTAGGGTTCCATTTTGAATGAGTACCAGCTCGGTGCGGGCCTCAGTAGAAATCCCAGCCCAAACTTGTACGGAGCCTCCACCGTACGCCACTTTTTCCTCCACACACGCTTGATGGAAGCGCTCCCCTGGTCTTCTGTAAACCAACTGCCTACCATCATGTTTATAAAGCATGAATTTAGACTCGTCCGTGAACATTACCCTAGATCGTCTAGTGTCCAGTTTAGGTGCTCGCGCACGTATCTCTGTCTTGCAATTCGATGTCCCCGTTCCAGTTTGGGGCCATTTGCGGGCCTCAATGGTTTCAAATTTACTACAGCAAGACGTCTTCTTACTGTTTGAGCGCTTAAATTGCCACCTCCAAAGCGAATAAAGTGAGTTTTTAGACTCAACAGCAGTTTGAAAACGATTTCGGAGCATTGTAGCCACCAGTTGTCTGTCTTCTCTGGCCGTTGTGCATCTTGGTCTGCCATTTCCTGGTCCTCTAAGGTGTGATCCGGGCTCTTGGTACCGCTGGACTATTCCTCTAGCGTGACTGCCATGCTTCACCTCACAGAATAATAATTATGCACGTGGAAGACGTTCACGATAATTTTTTTTGTGACAATAGAAATGGAAAGCATCTATAATGAAATGAAACAAAAATTTTGTTTTTAAAAATAGTCATTTTTTAAATTTTGTTTTTCTAATGAAGTTTTTTTTCATCAACTAGTTTAAATAATATGCTATTAGAATCGCAACTAAAAAGTCTTTATTCTGTTTTTTATTTCATTGATCTAACTTTTACAGTTCTGGAGGTATTTCAATTTTTGTGAATGACCCGTAATTTTTGGAACCGAGTGTATTATATTTTCCAGGATTGATATAATTCTTCTAATATTTTTTTTATAAATGTTATTATGAATTCGCTTCATATTTTGTTAAGCCTTTTAGTTTGACCGATTATTTTAATAATTCATATCTGTTCTTATTCCCAGGTCGTTAAATTTGTCTAGCACATTGCAACCAGCAATCGTCCCCAGAGCCAGTGATGATAGTTTGAAACTATCTACTACTATCTACCAAGATGATACGATCGAAATAGTACCCTTAAAAGATTCAAAACTTACTGTTGCTCCAGGCAAAATAGTTGTGCTGAAAAGTTCGCGTAATGTCACAGGCAGTAAGTCGGGTACCGTTACCAGAACCCAGTCTACTGGTGCAACCCCTAGAGATTTATTATAAAAGTTACACAAATGGAAAAAAATATGTTTTTTGGGTCTTATGTTTTTCTTTTGAGAATAAAGAAAGATATCTGAATAAGATCATGTTTTAAATGTAAAGAATTGTGGCCACCTAATGGCCACCTTTACACTTCCAATCATCAATTTCCATATATCATCTAAAATAATTAGGAGAACTTAGGCAAGAATTTCAAATCAGTAACATATTATGTGGTTTGAAGGTTTCTTTTTTATTAGACGCACAAGGTCCAAGATGGTAAGCTTATATTGCGTGGACTTATATCATGCTTCCTAATAAAGCAAATGTACTACATTAAACTTTGTTTTTATCGTGTGTTGAATTCCCTCCTAGTCATTACCTCACCGGAACTGATGGTAAAGAGGTGTATCAGAAACAAACCAACTAAAAGAACACTATGTTCTTACACAACTGAGTCTATTGCAAAAGACTCGGGTATTCCATATGATGGAAGTTACTGAGCAACGCCAGGTAGTCCTTCGTCGCTTATAAAATAGTAGGTAGCTTCTGAAATCATTACTTTTCATTTCACACACTATTTTTCACTTTGGAAAACGAAAAGATCCATGATATCTAATAAAAGAGTTTCCACAACAATTGCAACTGCGAGGTCGCAGCACTGTTTCGTTGATGTTGCGTATTCCACTAGAGTTTTGAGTGCAGCATTTTTTCGACAACCTCTGCAGTGATGGTAAGCCGAATGTGATGGCGCGCTAACTGCTTCAGTTTTCCAACTGGCGGTACAGCAGATTCTCCGATCAGGAGACACTGATGTGACGCCGCCTACTTCTGTAGCTGGTCTTATACCGAGAATTGTGTCGTTTCCTACGCTGGAGTACGCTAGATCATTTCGATTTTTTTTGTTAACTGCAACTGTATACATATAAATTTAATATTTGTATTCTAACGTGGCATTAGGCGGAACGTGATGACAACAGTCGAACGTGATGCTTATCATTTCAGATAGATTGTTTGATACATGTAAAAGAAATACGAAATGTCGAACACAATGTATGCTACGAACGTGTCAACGAGGTTTTATAACATACAGAAATCTGATTTAATAAATTCGATGTTCCAGTATGCCAACAAAGGAGATTTATTGTGAATTTATTTTGCATTGTTTGTATGGCAGCAACGAGAATAACATGGACTGCAATGCTGTAGATTCAGAACAAGTAATTTGATTTGAATATTTACAAAGCCTATAAAATACCGATCATTACACAGTACAATAATTATAGAACTCAGATTGGTGTAATTAAAAACAGTGTTCCTAGTTACTTTCTAATTCGTATCAGTTTTTCCATAGTTTTTCTCATTGGTTTGCTAGTAAATAAGTAGATTTCAGTTCAACATTTAAAATGAGTCTTTTTTCTTCTTTTAAACTCATTGTTTTATTATGTATTACATGTAGCATTTATTCCAACGCACACAAACCTGAAGGTATTATCCTTTGGTGTCGATTTTGTAGCGCTGCTGTTGGAGACACTTCGAAAATTTTTAATATACTTAGTCCAGGAGCTATGAAAGTTGAAAATAGGTTTATGTTTGGAAAAAACGTTACCATTCAAACTTTAGTGAATCCATTTCTTTTTAAATTTGATGTGTTAACGATTGAAAATGGAAGTTGTGCCAATGTAGGTCGTAGTGTTGGGGGACGAACTTGGTTCCATGGATATGCCTGGCGTGTATGTACTTGTCCACGATGTTCCGCACAACTTGGCTGGTCGTTCGAAAAAGAACTGGATAATGAAAACCAGGAAGAAGGCCACATCGATAGTAATAAACGTTTCATGTGCTAATACTAAAACATTTACTCGGATTAACTGAAGATGATGATCCTGGAGTAGGAATGTTGAGTTTCCTGAAGTATACTAAGCCGTGAGTTATTATTTTGACAACTAATTATGACAGTGTTACAGTAGCGATAGAGAGAACGAAATATTCAACGTAGATGAGTGGTGAATATTACATTATTCCTGTAGACGTAAGTAACTAGTCCAACTTAATTAATTTATTAGCACCCATAACTTTTGTATTTAATCACGGGTTTGATAGTTTACAAGTTTCGGTCACAAAAGTAAATTGATTAATTATTTAACCTTAGAAGGAAAATCGATAGGAATTCTTTTTACTATTACAGTGTGCCGTTGCGAAAGTTGCAGTTTTAAGCAGTATAGCCTAGCTTCTTAACAAATTTTAGATTTCTAGGGCAAGAGCAATAACTTAGTTCTTTAGATGAATGATTTGCCAAGTATACAATATTTAATTTATACATATGTATGTTTCTTCTGATATAAACAATTTTATTTGAGGCAATGGCATTTTGAGATACTTCAATCATTTACATTTTTAAGGGCTCCAAGGGGTAAATATAAATTGATGTTGTGTTTCGAGCACATGTTTAGTGCGAGAATAGCGGCAAACAAATGGGAAACCGGATGATAAGTGACTCCCACCGGCTATACCGGCTACACCTACAACTTAATAGGCCCCCAAAAGATCAAGTGAGAGAAGGTTGGGCCTCGGTAACCTCATCAACTCAAGGAAAGCAACCAAAGAATTTTTCAACACCTGTTTTTTGATAGGGTTCTCTGACACACGACCGATGACCGACGCGTGCCCGCCGCCAATAGCGTACTAACGCTATGTACGGAAATGCTTAGCGTTAGGTTCTTAGTAGACATGGCCATATGACACGCCTCAGGTACTGGTATCACTCCGGTTGAGCCGGTCTATATGTGCTGAAGCATGACTCTCCCACGTCATTATCAAACACACAATACATCAACATATGTATGTAATATTGCCATTGACGATATCAAGCAAAAAATAAGCCTTATTTCCAAAACTTTTTGTTTAGTTAGTTACTTTTTGTTAAATAGTTTAGGGTTGGGTTTATTTAAAAAACAATTGTGATTTTTTTAAAGTTTTTGCTTAGGTTTTATCCCTATAGATATGTTCCCCATACGGCAAATAGTTCTAAATAAGTGACTGTGAGTAGGGCGTTTCGTCTTTTACATTGCGTTGGTCATTAATAAATTAATTGTACAGTATGAAAGTGATCATAATAATTTATGTATTAAGTAGTCCATTGAAATTAGAAAACATAAACTGATAAATGTCACTATTTCACAGATTTAAAACCTCAACCGTGCCATCGAACGTTCCAAGGGCCAGTGACGACACAGCTTCTAAACAAGATACAGCACCACTATTAACATCAGTAGTTGAAAAGAATAACGTCACCACAGAAAGTACAACAGTAACAGAATCTAATAACGGTACCGATAAGAGTCTTACAACTATTGTACTCACTACAATAACACATAATATAAGCGAAAATGATATCTATGTATCCGGTAATAAAAAAAATACTACTATAAGCAAGTACTGGAATAAGAATTATACAACATTGGCGTTTAATTAATTTTAACTGAAATAATTTTAATTAATTTTATTTAATTTTATTGAAAATAGTTAATTAAATAATTTATTTTTTGTTAGACTTCCACCGAATCAAACATGTGTTTTAGTCTAAAAACTAAATCACTGTTTCACTGCATACACAGCCTAAAGAAAGCGTCAGACGCGATCTATGTATCATCTAGATAACTTAATTGCCGAGTAGTTGGTGCCTGCGACTTCGTTAGCGTGGAATTTGAAAGGCGCTGCCTTAGAAAATTTTTAGGGCTTTTTTGAGAGAAAAAATAGAATAAGTTCCTCCTTATATAAACAGTCACTTTGTAGTAATATATTATTAAAATCGACCGAGCCGTTTTGAAGATTACCCGGAACAAATAGAAAGACTGACAGATAAAGATGATAGTTTACAAACCTGTACAAAGTTTAAACTGATTATAATAAAATCTATTTTGTTATTCTAAAAAAGCAGTCAGTTTGCTAGGTTATAAAATAATGTATCTACGTGAAAATTTATTTTAAAAATTACGATGGATGATAGGTATTATCTTCCGTAAGTCTCCATACCCCTTAATAGTTTGATGATGATAAATTAATTTATTAATTAGTAGTTTACACTTGCAAGCGTAACAAACAAACAAAACTTTTCCATTTGCATTTATGAATTTTAGTTTGAATTAGTATTTAACATTATTTGATTATAGTACCTTCTCATCTCAGAAAACGAAAATCGTTGATTTTTGATGACTACCCTTTGACTTTTACTTTTGCCCCTTTTGGCACTCGGACGCGAATCACTTACAGATATTTTCATTGTAGTTTTTTGACGGACCGTAGGTCTAATGGTAAGTTACCCTGGCTGGTAAGCCGGAGGTCGTAGGTTCGATTCGCACCCAGGACAAATATTTGTGTGATGAGCACGATCATTTGTTCTTCTGTATCTGGGTATATTTTTGACGTGACAACGTCTTATAAATTGGTTTGCCGGGTGACACTTCAAGAAACTGCGTTACGCTCCGCTCACGTTATGCGCTCACAATGAGAGCGAGTGAGAGGCACGCGTCCCTTCCACTCGGGCATGGTTAGCCCGCCTAAGAGCGAGAGAGACAGACATAAATTAATGTTTTAAATATAATTCTTTGTATAAATAAATGTTTTAAATTGTTACTATTATTTCATCCTTCTTCCTACTATACGAATGAATATTCACATTAAAATTATTTTACCACACAAAGTCGTTGTCACGTAAAACTTTCGCCCGTATACCGACTTTACAGGCAACCAATTTTTTTTTTTTAGATTATGTATGAATTTAGAAATATTTAAAAATGTTTATCAGCAGTCTGGTTACCATAGCAGGTCTTGGTTTGCGAGATGTGTGAAGTTATTAATATCACCATTATATTGGCCACAAACACGAAAAAACGATTTTAATAACACTGAATCATAATACATATTAATATTCTTCTACTAATTGTACAGAGTCAATCTAATATTGAAGACTTTAAAGTCTTCGCTTCCTATTAACTTTATATACTCTTAACTTTATTTATATAAGTTTATATACTCGTAGTACATTAGAATATTTTTTGTGAATTAGGAATCGAATATCGGCGAAGCCCAGTTTCGGAATTTAATAAAACATTCAAGGACGAAATCAAGTAACTTTAATATATCGTTCCAAAAGATATTTTACATTTCCACACAAGCTTGATTTTCCACTTGTTAATACGTCATTTTATCCCAATCCCTGCAGCTTAATGCAAGTTTTCATACATTCTGTTAGGCTTAATATGATGCATCATGTCGTTTAATATGCCATCTGCGTACGACTGGTATTTTACCCGGCAGATAAGTTGATGATGTGTTAGCATAAACAGAACCCGCCATATTGCAAGGATATTTTTTTGATTTATCAAATCCTTTGAGTGGAAAATGTCTAAGAAATCCGTTGAATGTATGGAAGTAATGATGATCAATATTAAGAAAAAGTCAACTACACATTTGTTATTTATTTCCATTAAATAAATATTGCTGCATTTTATATTGCACAGGGCGAACAAGATGTTCAACGTCCTTCCTAGCGTACACCCAAGTCTCCCTGAAATGATGACAGGATTTATTCCTACTGCGGGAGTTGTCTTTTTCAAAAGAAATAATAATAATAATATTTCTTGTAAACCATGACAAATTTTATCATAACTAAAGAGTACTTAAAATATTATAAGTTTACTAGATAGAAGATAAATAGTGCGTATATCCGTAAAATCTTATTTAAATCTGTAGTCAGCGTACAACAATATTGCTGTCTCTTTGACCGCGAACAAGTTCTTAATAGGCATAAATTTTACTTTACCGCCCTTAATTAAGCCTTCTTGCATTTTCGTCGGTCTGAGAACCGTATAATTTTAGACGGATAATCTACCGAGTACATTATTTTTCAATTTAATCTGGATTTAAGAGTAAAAATGTCAGCAATTTCCGGCAAGTGAAGGGCTTAGTGTCAACTTAGAAAGGAAAGATTCCTGCGACTGTATTTAGCTTGTGCCCTCCACATCCATTACTAAGCTAAACCTTTGAATAAAGTCTTTAGTATTGATAGATAAATAGAAAATGAGAAACCCCATATGGAAGATGAATCGTTATCTACAAAAATAAATCTCAAAGAGTCTCTTTCTTCTTCCTTTTTACTCATGCTTGTGTGTCGAAGAGGTCACAATACGAACCCTTTTATGTCCACCATCATCACCAACAGCAATACCATCATCTTCACCATCATCATCAATAGTCCACTGCTGGAAAAAGGCCTCTCCCTAGAAAGAAGGTTAGTGCCTACTATACGACCCTGGCCAGACGGGTTTTTTGGGTTTGTTTCAAGTTTTCCTTCTCTTTGCAGTGCTGTTGTCCTGCGTAGTTTGCTCCCTTAGTCGGCTCTTACGATACTCTCGGGGTGAATAGGAGTGGTGACACTCCCTATTCTTAATTTTTCACCATACGCATAACAGGGTGGCATGCCGTGTGGTATTACTTGGTTTGATTCCGACACACCGTGTCACCCCCGGTCCACACAAAAAAGGGTCACAATTTCAATTAATCATTTCATACTTCTAAATTTCATTACAACGGATACATTACAAAATCTCTATTTACAGGTCTTGTAACTAATATATACCTAGTACCTGAATGATCTTTACCTTTTTTTTTTTGGTAAATTTTCTAAAAATGAAACCTAGCTAGATCGATTTATCACCCCGAAACCCACTGCGTACTAAATTTCATCAAAATCGTTGGAGCCGTTCACTTCTTTATATAGTTTGCAGATCAACTACATGTAATCTTGTAACAAAGGGCGATTCTCACAAATGCCAGCTGCCTACGGATACGTAGTAAAACGACCCATTTGGCTCGGATGACACAGTACACAAAAACATTTCAAAACTGATACTTTGTACCTTTCATTTCCGTAGAGAAACCTCAATTCACTGCTACAGATGCTAATTGCTTCAACGCAGATGACGTAAAGGAATGAATTTAAAAAAATTATTTTTTGCAATAGTAAAGTTTCGAAACTTTATAGTTTTATTATGTATTATTTTACCTGTTGATACTTATGTATCAACAGGTGAAATAATACATAATAAAACTATAAAGTAAAAGTTCTTCAAATACATGATGGCACAGGCTATGACATCTCATAAAAATTAAAATGTAAAATTTAAAAGACGATATGCAAGGAATCAGGGCTATCTAGGAATACATTAGGATTAGTTGCAATTTTTGATATTACAGGCAACTAATGGGCAATCTAATTCTAATCTAACTTTGGAATTGGTTAAACTAAATATAATTATAAACGTGCCTTATCCATTGAGTTTGCTTCCTGTTAACGTAAACAAAAGCCATAATTATGAAAAGCTAATTTGCTTATCCGTGGAGTTGAATCACATTAAGCCGCAGTGAACACCAAAGAGAATAGTAATTCTTTTATATTCTCATTAGTGTTCATGTTAATTTGCTTAAGTAATTAGCACTAAATCTTATAAGAGAGTGTCTTGTTATTTTTTTAATCAGGATGTACTTAAGGACATTTATCAACCTTGATATATAATTATATTATTTTCACATTATTACTATTATGTACTTACTACGTACTGTACTCACTTCATCCGTACGATGGTCGCTAATGCACGTTATTTTATCAAGAGATTTCCAAATTATTTTTACATAGTTGTGCTTTTTAATAAGTATAATGTAAAAAACAGTATCTTTATTTTATTCTAAGTATATACTTCTAAGGCGACAAACAAATATACTTCCCGCAAGATTAATAGCGGTCGCCATAGTCGTAAGGACGTTGATAGCACCAGTAATGATCCGCTAACCCCCGGGCACGTTGTTGATCCCCAAAAAGCATTAAAATAATAATTGTTAAAATGGGTAGAAATATTTAAATAAAGTCTAGCTAATTAAAATGAACTCAGTTATGTGATTGAGAGAAAAAAAAGGTTCTCTCAAAATTAATATTTTTATGAAATTTTTATTTAGGGCTCAGAAGAATAATCTTTTTAGTTCAGTTTAGGTTTTTTTGTTACAGACCTTTTCGCCTATGATTTACCGACTCTTGTTATTATTATTGAATATTCAGTAAAATTTCAAGTGTGTAACTTGGTACTGTTGATACTTTTAGAATTGTTTTTTGTTTGTAATATCAAACTACTCATTCGTATCTGTGATGGAGTCTGCAACGAATTCATTGCTAATTTGTATTCCATCTGTGCTTCGGAACTGTTCTGAGAATACTGGCAAGTATTGTTAAATTAGTTATTAGTTTAAGTTGAAACTGTTACTTTGCTGTAAATGTAGACTATTTAACGTACTCTAATCATTTCAAAGCTGCTCCGTTTAATATTTTATTTCCTCACAGTTTGTCTTGACAAACATTACAGGTTTTTATTTGTCGCCATATTGAATTTCTCGAGTCACAACAAGCCTTTACCTACAAATAAA